GGTTTTGGTCCGAAAAGGCTGCGATGCAGCGTTCCTCCTTTACTCCCAATCGAACATGGTTGAACAAGCGGTCACGTGCTCCTGCGTACACCAGTCAGCTGGTCACCGTGCCTGCAGGGTACAACTTACTAGCCTGTTTGACCTTTTTTTGGTGCAGTCCTGTCACTCGAGTTGAACTCGAGTTGAACCTTGGTCACTTGTTGGTGTGAAAGTTGTCGCCTGCTGGCGTGGTGACCAGGTGATTTGGGCACCCAGGAGCACGTGACCACTTGTTCAACCATGTTCGATTGGGAATAAAGGAGGAACGCTGCATCGCAGCCTTTTCGGACCAAAACCAGTCGACTCAGCGTCCAAAAGACTACAACATATGGGCCAATCGCGGTCATCCGTGCTTTTATAAGAACGAAACGGCGCTTTTAGTGACATTTTGCATACAAATCCCCATCTAGTAGGGCGCAGTCACCCAGTTTCGGTGGAAGTGCGCGAGTTCGATTGGGATTCAAGTAGGAAGGGAGCGTCTCAGCTTTCTCGGACCAAGACCATTCGACTCAGCACCCCGAAGACTACAACTGGTGAAATTTTAATTTTTGCCTTAACTTCCCCTTTAAGGAGGTTCGCGACGGTTAGCGCCATGTTGGATTTCCGAATTTTTTTCTGAAAAATAATGCCTTTCGGAGTGGAAAAATGGTCACCCAGTTTCGGTGGAAGTGCGCGAGTTCGATTGGGATTCAAGTAGGAAGGGAGCGTCTCAGCTTTCTCGGACCAAGACCATTCGACTCAGCAACCCGAAGACTACAACTGGTGAAATTTTAATTTTTGCCTTAACTTCCCCTTTAACGCATTGTGTTGCGCACCGTCACTGCTAAGCTTATCCGCATGCATGTAGCACAGCGTTTACTCAACCGCGGAAAGAAAGCAAGAGAGGAAATATGGCTAAGAGCAGTGTGTATAAGCGGGGTTGCCACTAACCACTGACTCTTCTTGGGAAAGCAAGCAAAGCCCCTCAGCTGAATGCATTTTGGAACAATTCTCTGCATGAGCTTTCAAGCACTGGGCGGCACGCGCTGCCCAGCAGCAGGACCACATGGTCCCAGCAGGACCAGCTGGTCCCAGCATAGACACATTGTGTCCAGCAGCCGGGCCAATTGGCCCCAGCATACAGCAGGACCGTCCGGTCCCAGCAGTCATTTGACTACCTGCGCACAGCCGTGCCCCACATGGGCAGAGCAGCATTAGTTAGGACCACATGGTCCCAGCAGGACCAGCTGGTCCCAGCATAGACACATTGTGTCCAGCAGCCGGGCCAATTGGCCCCAGCATACAGCAGGACCGTCCGGTCCCAGCAGTCATTTGACCAGCAGTCATTTGTCTACCTACGCACAGTCATGCCCCACAAGGGAACAGCAGCATTAGTTAGGATCATTGGCCTTAATCTCTTGCACTGCCTGCCATCTACCAGCATTGTAACAGAATTTTCTACAATCCCGCTTTGCGGGGCCGCCTGGTATATTGTTGCAAACAATTCGCAGATTACAAATTCTGTTACAAAACATTTGATATAATCCAGCCGCAGCAGCTCGGCAACCCCAACTTCCACTTGCTTGATGTGTGTGTGGGTGATAATTGACGTTGTGGGCACGGCAGTGGCTTCTTTAATCCAGCAGCGTTTTCAGATTCTTGCCGAGTCTATACTACCAGACAGCCAGTGTGGTTTACGTAGTGGATGATCGTGTACAGACATGGTTTTCACAGTACAGTCAACTTCGCTTATAACGACACTCGGCGGGGCATCAGGAAAGTGTCCTTATTCGCGGCGTGTCGGTATACCCGAAGTCTCATTATATGTGTCACTGTTGGATGGGACTTTGCTCTGGGAATGAAAATTATGTCGTTATTCGCGAATTGTCGTTATATCCGCAGTTGTTATTAGCGAAGTTGACTGTACGTCAATCTGTATGAACATTGATGCAAGGGGTTCCTGGTATTTGTAGATCTACGGAAAGCGTACCATTCTGTCAATTGTGAAAGTTTGTGGTTCGTTTTGGGAAGAGCTGGTGTCCCCGATAGACTCGTCGGTACTATTCAAGCTTTTCACGACAACAGGAAGGCATCATTGGTACTGGCAGGAGTCTACATGTGGACTCTGTTCCAGCAATGGTACAAGATGATTGTAAACATTCCGGATATTGGGCCTCCTTTGGGGACGAATGCTGGTGGTCGGCTACTATTCCGCAGCTCACGTACGGACGTTGCGAAACGGCACAACGACTGCCAGTTTGCTGACGACTCTGCACTGGATGCCACCTCCCACGAGGGTGCACAGCAGACTCTGGCTGCGTTTGTGCGGGTTGCTGGCGAATTTGGCCTGAAGGCGAATCTCGCGAAGACCAAGGTCATGCCGGTCGTCTATGGACTCACAGCACATGACCAATTGCCTTTGATGGTAGTGGATGACATTGTTGAGAGCGTGGCTGACTTCAAGTGTCTCTGCTCCAGCGTACATACGGATGGTCGATCGACTCATGATATCAAGTCACGCATTGCTGGAGCATCGAGGACCTTCAGTGCGCTGCGTCGTACGGTTTTCATGGATCGCAACCCATCAGTTGCCACTAAGCGCCAGGTGTATGAGGTGTGTGTTGTGTCCCTGTTGCTCTACTGCTGTGAGTGCTGGGTGCCGCTGAGCCGGGATGTAGTCGCCCTCTCGACATTCCATAATGAGATGTATCCGATTGATCCCGGGTATCACTCAACTTGACATACCGTACTGGCAATATATGTTGCCGCGTAACGCGTAACGCAGGGGGGGTGCGGCGTAACGCGCGACCAGGCTAGTGCAGCAAATTTTCGTTGCGTTCGTAACGCGCGTCCGGCGGGGTGCGGCGATATTTTCATTGCAAAAAAGGCTGAAAACTGTGAAAGCACGTGTACTGCGTGGTGAAAAGTTCAAAACTGGACGCAGCAGGAAGTCCTGCAATAGCATAAAAAGGACTGCGGCAATATAGAAACCTGTGTAACGGCTCCTGTGCGACTTTGCATGTAACGCCCTGCGTGCGGTAAACATGTGCCAATGTAACGCTTCATGGCCTCACTGCGACCATATATATATTGCCAGTACGGTAATCATGAACATCTCGCTTGATTAATTAACCTTTCACTGCTAAGGACGTTTATTTACGTCCTTGAGAGTGACGCCCGTCCACTAAGGACGTATATTTACGTCCTGAGTGCGCATCGCGTACTGACGAAAATTTTCAGGAGGCGCGTATGTTCAAATGATCGTAACTCAGTCAATCCTTACTCGATGCTAGAATCGAAGTATGTAGATCGAAGAGAAAACTCTCAGCTGTTGATTGCAACAATTGCCGAAGCGATAGAATAAAGTACTGCTGAGTTATGGCGCTCGACGGCTACACAGCTTCACACGGCCAGAGCAACAATTTTTTTGCCGTGCGTGGGCGCTCGGTTTTCATTTTTCTGCATTTTTGACATTTGGTGCCATGGCAACTGAAGTTCAAATCACCAGGGGACTCGCGGGAGCGTTCACAAGAAATGTCAGCTCGATACGAGCAAGGAGAGTAGAATGGCGGGTGAAAGCTCAGTTTCTTTCAGTTGCGAAACTGCGCCATGACTTTGGGACAGATTTGCTTAGCTCTATAGCTGGTCTAAGACCTTGTGGAGACTTGTGCCTTAGTTCAGCGTTTTGCTCGTTGCAGCAGCTTTCCAGGAAGCTCTAGATACAGTAAATTGGAGCATGGATGCTAGAGTTACGAACTGTTTAGGTGTGGTGTGTTTCAGTAAAAATGACCCATTTTCGCTGGTCGTTAGTGGACAGATGGCAGTAGCCGGCAGTGGTAAAAGGAGATGTTCATGATTATGTCGAGTTGAGTGATAACCTGTGACCCATCTTTTTTCCATTTTCCAAAATCACCTTGCCATGCAAAAGGCAACGTGCGGGAGAGGATCGCCGGTTTCACCCCACACAAGTGTGCCATTAAAACCCTCTGTTACCAACATTTGACTGCTTTTTCATTGAAGAGCATGAATAACACATAATTGACACTTGTAAGGGTGGGTTGGGGGGGGGGGGGGCATTTTCCACAGGAGGGCGTTCAATCAGAGTAGGAAGGCGCTGCCCCCCCCCCCCCTCACACACTCCTTTGGCTAGGACCATGATACCTATCTGTAAGTTGCACAATTGAGGCAGGAGTCTGGAAATGGGAGGTCCGGAGTCTTTGTGGTCCACTTTCACGACAATCACACACACAGAAGTCTCTGCTATGAGCACGGTGGCTCGGCAATGGCTTTATTTATTGATATTATATCCTCTTCCTGATTTAAAAAATAATAATTGTATGCATAGAGGTAAGAAAAAATATGTTCAAGATCCTGCTGCTAGTCGTACAGCAAAGCACACAGAAAAGGATGGGTGATGTCACAATGAATGTAACAACAGCCGTCCAAGCTAACTGACCTACATGTACACCCCTGCCCCAGGACGGTATCTTGAAAAAACCCACACACTCACCACACGGTCATCATCCAGCTTCAGTTCAATAACAATACAGTGGTATTCTTCCCATGCAGATTCAACTCCCCTGGCACTAGCCATACAATCTGAAGCTGCACGTAACCATACAAAGGCCCGCGACGCACACACCACCCCTACGTTTTTAACTAAAGAAGAAAAGCAGTCGTAACTGCCACAGCCACATAGCCAATAAGAAAGCCAATAAGATTAAATCGATAAACATCCACCCAGAAGTCAGGGGTGGGATACAAACTGCACCAACGTAAAGCCACTGCGAAGTGACAGGAATGTGGTCAAGCACAACATTTTTGCTGAAGCAAAAAGTTGCAGGGAAATCCCAAAATCAGTGCGATTTTACATGAGCCTAAATGTTCAAGTTACCCACAAAGACACAAGCTTTCCAACTCTCTTTGGCCATTGCAAGGCGTACCATGTTTTACACACAGAATAAACAAATTCTTTCACTCACCATTGCACTTCAGTAGATTCTCCCATTTGCCGTGCGTAGCATTGTGCAAACTGCATGTCATTGGCGACTCATTCTGTGGAAGGTAACCGTAGTCACATTCAACGTATGCAAAGTGGTCAAGGGGATTATCAATATGACTCCCTAACACACTCCTGAACACATGTAACTTTCCATTGCTTATTGTGGTACTACTTGAGCAATAATCAGAGATAGCTGTCAGGCATCAGTAAAGGATTGACATCCGTCAAGACACCGGAAAAGAAGCATGAAATCAAGAAAAGACGAAACACAGAGTCATAAACACCCCAATCAGACTACTCAATCATGTGTTTGCGGATTGTGAGCTATATTTCGTTTTTAGATTACTGTTTAAGGGGAAACAAAGAAAACAGGGGGGCACAAGTTATGTATTAGAATTCAACAACTAACCGGGTTTTGAACAGTCAGACGTGCACAGGGTAGTAGCACCAGACAGACAAGGAGTACGGAGACATTCTACGGCAAGAATGTCATTGTCAGTCTGGTGCTCATTACCATACACAATACATCCAAGAAGTCAGCAAAAATACACCCGGATGCATGGTTTCACGCGTACACGCACCAGTCACGAACACAGCTTTTAATCACTCATTCCGAGCAATTACTGATCTGACACACCCGTCGAGCCAGGATTTCAAAGCTTGTCCGCGCAGTACGAATGCGACACCCTCACCTCGCCGACACGACTGCCCGTCCACTCTATATTTCTCGCATCCAAACCAGTGAGTCGTGAGCCACTCGGGGAACGGTCTGTCGAAGTATACTTCAGGCGAATTGCCATCACGCGTTCCGAGCAATTATTGATCTGACATCCCCAGCCGCGCCAGGATTTCAAAGCTCCTCAGCGCATCCATCGACGATGTGGCTGTCATGGGGTTTCTTTCACTGTCATTCGGGTAAAAGTCAGTCGGGCTGAGAATTGTTCTCAAGGAAAAGTTCGCAAAAATCATTGCCAGTAAAAAATATCAGAAAGCTGATTGAAACTGGAAAGCAGCCGACTCGAGTAGACGGGTTGTGAACGCGAGAAGCTAATCCTAAATCACGTGGTGTTTCACGTGCGTTATAATGAACTCGTTCCCGTTGACGTTTCACGGCTTGCTAATGGTCCCTCTAATGGTACTCATTTCTGCCGCCACTCTACAGAATGTTGTGGTCCGAATTGCGCAAACACCTGCACACGATCTCCATCTTTTCAGCTGGGTATTCTTGCCAAAATTCCAAAATTGCTGCCAGCAATTTCTGGCGATTTTCCTTAGGCACCAGAGATACATCTGTCCGGAGGCTATTGAAAAACGCCAGGTTGTTGACATTAACATCTGGAATCTGTGCTGGCTGAGTGACCACAGAGAGAGAGAGAGAGAGAGAGAGAGAGAACTCCTTTGTCTTACTGTGACTCGCGAAAGCACAACGATTCTCCTTTGCGGTGCGGAGGATTCTAATAACCTCTACGTGAAGCTCTCAGCAAGACAACCACAGCCCTATCCAGTTCACAATTGATAGAGCCGTAGGAGTAACGCCGCAGCGCGATGGGAGTGTTACAATACCTGACCTGTGAGAACATTATTCTCAGCCATTTGAACAATTTCGATCGCAGAACGGTCAATATTTTAGCAGGAGAGAGCTGAGAAATGCAACTTCAAGATGACGCGTGCCATGTGTACATGTGTGGGCAGCGAGTCAGGGAAAACCCTTGCTTGTGTTTCAAATTTACGCCGGCACGAGATGACATGCGCTAATAATTTTCTTTCGAGTGTCATACCTTTTTGACTCTGGTCCAGGATATCGGATCTTCCTCAGGTTTTTCAAACCGACAACTGATATTTTCTTGATACGAATAGACATGCCTATCTTTGAATTCGGACAAAAGTTTTGAGCGATTGGTGAAATTTTGTAGTCACCTTGGTATGCACTGTGCGCCCAGGCAGATATATGCACCCAATAGGCATAATATACACAGAGGAAGCAAAATCTGTCACTCACGATCGCATGTAACTCCACCAGCGCGTGTATTATTCCACCTGCCAAATGTTTGATTGTATGCAACACACGTCACTGGGTTCTTATTCCGTGGAAGATAACCTCGGTTACAGGTAACAGTGGCAACAGAATGAATGCTGTTACCCGACGTGGTTACATGTCCATTGTGTACTGCGATCGTTCTATTGCAATAGGTAGTGGCAGCTGTCAAGTGTTGGTCAAGGAATGACATCCGTCAAGATACCGAAAAATGCGTGGAATCATGAAAAGCAAGACACAGAGACATAAGCATCCCAATTAGACTTCATATCTATCATTCTGGGTGCGCCAAGTTTCAGAGACAACTATGACACCATAAAGTGGCCTTGTTGATGATACTGTGGCCAACAAGGCTCGTCAACACAAGGTTCTTGTCAAAGGGTAGGAGACATCGTTTAGGAAACTCTCCTCAAACATCGATTGATGGAAGGACCAAGAGATCAAAGAGAAACAACATGAAAGCCAGAATAAGAGAAACAGAAAAGGAACAAGATGGAAAGGATATAGAGAAAATCGAGTCCAAAATTATCGTACCACTTGCAACCTATTTCTTTGAAAATGAATATTTTCCCGACTATGCTCGACTAGAATTTTGCCGACTGTGACGTTTTGATGATTTTCTCGATTTGTTGGCGAAACGCAAAGCCACTTTTTAGCTTGGCGCGGCTCATGTAGAGAAAATCGAGCCCAAAATCATCGTACCACTTGCAACCTATTTCTTTGAAAATGAATATTTTCGCGACTACGCTCGAGAAGAAATTTGCCGACTGTGACATTTTGGTGATTTTCTCGATTTGTTGGCGAAACGCAAAGCCACTTTTTAGCGTGGCGCGGCTCATAATTATAGAGAAAATCGAGTCCAAAATTATCGTACCAAGCTGTTCGGTGCGGGAGAACCCTCGGAACGACCGAGCAGGTTCAACACAAAAAACTTCCCTAGAACTGTTTCGGATACGTGATGCCAAAAGAAAACAAAAGGGTCAAGAGTACAAATCTGACACACCCTGTTGTCGTTACACTACACTACATGACTACACCATAAGTGTGCGACTGCACAGTCTGTGTAACTATAGAAACTATCTCGATATATAAGCGGGCCTGAACACGGGCTAGAGCGGCTGTGCGACGAGTGAAGAACGAATGTTCTGCAGAACAGGTAAGGAAAATAGAAGTAGGTCGCTTTAATCCAGCCCGAGTCTGGAAAGACATCAAAATACTTCAGCACCCTCGGAGTGGACTTGTCCCGAGTCCTGTGGTTGGTGTTCGGGATGAAAATGGAAATCTGTGCACATCAGCTGAGGAGCAGGGGCAGAGGTTCAGACGGCACTTCACTGTTGCTTTAAATGTTCAGAGCGTGGTGGACATGGACATCTTCAGCATGGTCAAGCAGCAACCGGTATGGGATGGGATTGCTGCAGTCCCGACATTGGAAGAGCCCCAGAGAGCTGTGAACGGGATACTGAGCGGTAGGGCTGCTGGGAGAACGGGTATTCTGCCCGAGATAGTTAATGCCGGTGGACCTCAGTGTATGTCTGCTCTTCTGGATGTGGTGATATATGCCTGGGATGCCCAAGAGATCCCCCAGGATTGGTTCGACTGTAATCTCGTGCCAATCCCCAAGAAGGGAACCTCGCCATTTGTGACAATTGGCGGGGCATCTCAATACATGTAGGTTTGCAACGGGCAAATCAAAGTTATCATGCCACAGAAGCACTCGCGGCCAGCGCCTCGCAGGCAGTCCGCAACGCCGGCTGTCATCGTACATCGTCCCCAAGCGTGGGAAAATGGCACATGCGCAAGCGTGGGACTCGCAGCCTTGCTGGCAGAGAACAGCAGCAAGACCTTTCTATGCAAACAAATTTGTTTGAGCACCTTGGCTTGCAATATCAGCAGTGTTGTGCGAATTTTCTTTTTCAGCCTATCATGAGTCGTTTTCAAACAGCAGCACCAGGAGATCCGCTAGCTAATCCGTTCCTCCATCCGAGAAGCCATTTCCGGGGACGACTCTCGCGAGCCGGATGCTGATATCGCCTGCGCACAAGACCTGAACTCGGCAGATACTAGGTAGGCTTGACTCTGACGTGCCTGTACATGCACCTCCACCACATGCCCACACCCGTCCCCTGTGTGTTGCACATGTGGCCGAGAGAGTGGTGGAGAAAGTGCTGCGAGGGGAGTTTGTAGATTTAGCACTCCTCCTCAGGCTCCTGCGCCCCTCAGCAGTACCCGCTGAACCCTCAGCCAAACGTTTCAGGCTCGAGAACGACTCGGATCGGTCAGTAGTGCTGGCCCCAGCATAGCAGAAAAAGCCAGAGTCGATCGAGTCTATAGACAGTGGCCTGGGCCGAATCGTGGGCAGTGTTAACCATCATTGTAGGCATGCAACGCACACACTACCTGAACAAACTGTTGGTATACCAGCATCACGTCCTAAGGGTGTTAAGCATTCTATCCTCAGCAAGAATCTTAGATCAGCTTTTGACTACCCTGATGTTGTGGATGCTCACCTGGGGCAAGAGGGCATGTCTTGGTGTCATGCCAAATAAATCGGGTGGGCATCGCTTGATCATGCATCTTTCAGCCCCGGAAGCTGGTCCGACCCGTGCGCATGCGCTAGTCATGTCGCTTGCATTGTCATTGCTGTTTTGACTCTCGAGCATGCAACTTGCGGAACATTTGTTCCCACACACTTTCCTTCCCACCCTCCCACCCGCTACCTCAACTCACGTTTCTGGCGCACACATGACGTTGTATTTCTCGCTCAACATGTTTCGGTTGCATATATGGCATCGGGCGTGTTCTTTATATCTTGCCAATATGTGCTTGCCATGCCTACATGATGCCAAATCGCCATTGGGGTTATACACCCGGTTTTTTCCCTCACTACTGCGGTTGTCGGCGCGAGGGTTTTTTCCCCGGCTGGCTCGGTCCAGGAAAATTAATCTGACGTTCCCAAGTGGTTCTGCATCATGGCCTATTTCTGTTATCCGCATGCACATCTTTCCCATTTGAGACACACTCTGTTCTCAGTGCTTGCTTTCATGCCTCACTCGTGCTTCGGTTCACATCTGGCTGCGGCCAACCACCCTTCAATTTGTGTGTTGTCACTATTGCTGTCTATAATCTGTGTGTACCAGTATATATGTGGCGCGAGAATGTATTCTTACAATCCATGAGAATATATGCTCTCAACTGTCATGCATACCTTGATATTTAGCATTTGGTGGCTCTACTCAGAGTCATTGGCGGCTCCATGCGGAGTCATTTGCTCCATGCGGAGTCATTTGCCAGCTCAGCTCTAGCGGTCCTGAGCAGAGCTATCATACTAGTTGCTCGAATCGGTGCTCCCATGGAATGGCATTGCCCTATTCAGAGACATCAGTTGGTCCAAGTCCCCCAGCCTTCAGCTCTTCACTGACACGCCTGGCGTCGGTTTCAGCGGGCTTTACAACACAGCACGGTTCTATGGCACATGGTCAGCAGACCAGTCGGATGGCCTATTTCGCAGCATTATCTGGCGGGAACTCTACCCAATTGCCATTGCGCTCTCTTTATGGGGAGAACAATGGGCGCATCATGCTGCCCAACGCCAACAGACTACTTCAATAGAGCACATCATCTCCGTCAGACGCTACTGATAAAGGCCGGCGACCTAATTAGGGACTCAATGGCCCCAAGTTCTGCCCGCACATACCCGCCAGGGACTGGGGCGTATCTGAAGCTGTGTACACAACTGGGATGCCAGCCGAGTAGGCCGTCGGTAAATGACTTACTTGCATTCATCACCCACTGCATATCCGGTCACAAATCGACCGCAACCATCCGAGTATATGTATCCGCCGTGAGGTATTACCTCCTCTGTCATGGTGGGCCGTCACACACAACTCAGCACGATAGAGTTACAGCAGCCCTGAAGGGAGCGGAGCGTCAGCAATGGCAGCACCGCCAGCAAGCAGCACCGACACAATGTCAACGCCAGGCTATCACTCAATCAGACCTGCAGCAGCTCTTGACCGTGATCCAGCGCTCCCACTACTGCGAATCGGACAGGTGCATGCTCTGGGCCGCCTTCATGACAGCCTTTGCGGGATTGCTCAGAGTGAGCAAGGATACTGCCGCCTCTCCCTGCTCTGCTTCGAATGGCCACACTCTGACCCTGGGTCAAGTCTCACTCACTGGGACTCAGATCAGCATACGACTCGGGATAACGAAGACCTCCCAACGTGGCACTGGGGGCCAAGTCATCTTGCAGCCATGGTCCGGCAGCCAGCTCTGCCCTATCCAAGCAATGCGCAAGTACCACGCTATCCGCCACGCAACACCAACGACGTCACCGCTGTTCATATTCCGAAGTGGGCAATATCTCACACCCAAAGATGTGAACTACTGGATGACGAGAGCCCTAGGTCCGGGTGTTAGCAGTCACTCCCTCAGGATCGGCGGGGCTACTGCAATGGCCGGAAGGAATGCCTCAGCTTGGCAGCTCCAGAAGGCTGGCCGCTGGGCTAGTGACATGTACAAAACGTACCTCCGTGTGCCGGCTGGCCTGCCTCTTGGCCAGCAATGAGCCGGCTACGCTGCCATGTGTGCATGCGCGTGCTGATGGGCACTGTTTTGTATCAATCCTGCCCTAAATACTGTAAGCACTCTGCACCCCCTTATGTGGGAATATGACCTCTCAGCAGCTTGCCCGATTAAGGATCTCTGCTCCAGCCTGGACCACATACTCAAACTCTTTAAAGGGGAAGTTAAGGCAAAAATTAAAATTTCACCAGTTGTAGTCTTCGGGGTGCTGAGTCGAATGGTCTTGGTTCGAAAGCTGAGACGCTCCCTTCCTACTTGAATCCCAATCGAACTCGCGCACTTCCACCGAAACTGGGTGACTGCGCCCTAATAGATGGGGATTTGTATGCAAAATGTCACTAAAAGCGCCGTTTCGTTCTTATAAAAGCACGGATGACCGCGATTGGCCCATATGTTGTAGTCTTTTGGACGCTGAGTCGACTGGTTTTGGTCCGAAAAGGCTGCGATGCAGCGTTCCTCCTTTACTCCCAATCGAACATGGTTGAACAAGCGGTCACGTGCTCCTGCGTACACCAGTCAGCTGGTCACCGTGCCTGCAGGGTACAACTTACTAGCCTGTTTGACCTTTTTTTGGTGCAGTCCTGTCACTCGAGTTGAACTCGAGTTGAACCTTGGTCACTTGTTGGTGTGAAAGTTGTCGCCTGCTGGCGTGGTGACCAGGTGATTTGGGCACCCAGGAGCACGTGACCACTTGTTCAACCATGTTCGATTGGGAATAAAGGAGGAACGCTGCATCGCAGCCTTTTCGGACCAAAACCAGTCGACTCAGCGTCCAAAAGACTACAACATATGGGCCAATCGCGGTCATCCGTGCTTTTATAAGAACGAAACGGCGCTTTTAGTGACATTTTGCATACAAATCCCCATCTAGTAGGGCGCAGTCACCCAGTTTCGGTGGAAGTGCGCGAGTTCGATTGGGATTCAAGTAGGAAGGGAGCGTCTCAGCTTTCTCGGACCAAGACCATTCGACTCAGCACCCCGAAGACTACAACTGGTGATATTTTAATTTTTGCCTTAACTTCCCCTTTAAGGAGGTTCGCGACGGTTAGCGCCATGTTGGATTTCCGAATTTTTTTCTGAAAAATAATGCCTTTCGGAGTGGAAAAATGGGACGCGATCATGCACAATCGAGTAAGCAGTTTGACCATGACTTCGCGAATTCGCAGCGCGTGCTCGAGTCGAGACAAGATTTGAGGAAGAAGCTCAGCCACTAGTGGACTTGCGGATTTGTTTTGACATCGGCGGTTTTTGGATAGCTTGGTTCTCCTGCCGACGTGTCGTGGAGATGAAGACGCGAGAGAGTAATCTGTCAGTCACCCACGACGCGGCCTCGCATTCTGCTTACTGGACGATTCAAGAAGCCGAGGAGGGGGACGCTTCGCAAGCTCAAACGATCGATCGAGTTCCTGAAAAACGGAAAGGGCGATCTCCACCACCAACGCCACCGGATTCGACTCCCGCGAAGAGGTCGTTCAGTGCCCCTCTTCACGGTCGACGAATCGTTCATCTCAGGTATCTGGCTGTGGGATTGCCTGCGTGCCAGAATCCTGGATGTGGCAAACCTCTGGCGCTCATTGATTGCGTTGAAGAGAAGAGGTACGGCCTGGGCAGCGTACTTGTCATTCCGTGTCAGCAGTGTGGGATGGAGAATTTTATGCTCAACACCCTGGCCTCCGTGCTTCCACACGCAACACCAAAGCTGCTTTGGGTAAGTGTGTTTTTCAATCTCATAAGATTTATTCATGATATTTGCGAGTCATTTCCACCCTATGGCTATGGCAATGGAAATGTATGAGCACACTGTATGCGCGGCGCGCGCGACGTTTGTGTGTTTGCATAGACCTGCATGTTTGTGCATGTGTGCACCATACGCATGTATGAACATGCACATGCGCTCATGTGGACGTGCCCTTGCACACAAACTATACACGCGTGCATGACCGCTCCCAGGGCATGTTGGTGTGACATGTGTATGCGGGCATCTCCACTCATGCACATGAGTGTGCACATGCATGTGGGTGGGTACGTACACGTGCGTGAATGTATGTGTGTGTACGAGCGCGTGTGTTCTATTGCGTGTGAGAGCATGCGTGTGTGTGTGTGTGTGTGTGTGTGTGTGTGTGTGTGTATGTGTGCACGCATGTGTGTGTCAATGGTGTGCATTTTTGTGGTGGGTGAACACTCTGATCCCTAAACCGCGATACCGGAGCTCCCAAGCTACAGTCTCAGATTGATTTATAGTTCATCGTTGGGAATGAGTTCGCTGCTCATTATGCTGCTCATGATGATGTTTCGGATGTTGCGGCCCTAGCTGAAATTGTTGAAGCTCGCCCTGATGCCAGTATCCTGTAGCACTCTGTCACTTTTGAATCAGCATGTTCGGCGATGGAGTTTGCAGAACATCAGCAAAAGCGGCTGGCCACCCTTCAACCGTTGGTCCAAGCAACGTGCTTCTCTAAATCAGTTGCAGTGCGGGCAGCTTCTAGTGGGTTGGTGATGAAGAACTTTGTCTTGTCCTACAAACGAAGTGGTGAGTCAGCCAGTTCCAGACTGATGAAGGAGCAAGTCGGAGGTAAGAAGCGGGTGACAGCCTCAAGGAAGATAATATTAGCGGTGGCTGAACACCTAGCCAAGAACCAGCAGCAAGCAACCCAACTGTACGCACCGTAAAATACCATCATTTTTGCCAGTGTGGGGACACGTTCTAGCTCGTATAGTTGAAGAACAGGAGGACTCAATGTTGTCTGATTCGTTCCAACATGTCAGCTTTCATTGTAGTTTGATATGGGGCTGTGCTAAGCGCTATCACAGCTACATGTACATGTATCAAAACCAAGTACCAACAGGTGAGTAATCATGGAGAAAAGCAGCTATTGATAATGTGTGCACCCAGGGTTTTCCGGCAAATTCACTAGTTCAGCTTTTCCATCCTTATATTGTTCTGAACGCCGAGGGCTCTAGCGAGTTTATGCAACACCTAACAGCCAAAAATCCAATAAGCTATGACCAAAGCAGCAGCAGAGAAGTACAAGCAATATAGATACGTGAATTTACCAATTTTAGGCAAATTTTGACAGTTTTTTGGATTTTTCTCCAGAATATGCACGGTGACCCCTATTTTCGCCGCGGTAAACCTGTTCCAACCCACTTATAGAACGTATTTGAAGTATCCGTATATGGGGCAAACTCAAAAATAAGCTGCAAAAAATATTCAAAGTTTCATTTTTTGCGTCTTTTTGTTCTTCTCCAGGAAATGACGACCTGGATCCCATCGTCAACCAAAGTGTACATTTTTCGGTGTTGATATCATCTTAGTAAATACCTCGAACAGTCTGTGTAATTTTATGTCATATTTTCTGTCCTATCTGGTGTTATGGACGATTTCTCATCAATTTTCGGATTTTGCGATATTGTGTGTTATCAAGGAAAATTGTGTTTTTGGCAAGACCTATTCAGGCAATTGGAAAACTGATGTTACTAAGTGAAAATATAAGGCTGTACCTATTCAAACCTGATGTCAGATTGGGCTGATGTTGAAATTAAATTTTTGGGCCTAACTGTCCCCAACCCCCTTAACGCATTGTGTTGCGCACTGTCACTGCTAAGCTTATCCGCATGCATGTAGCACAGCGTTTACTCAACCGCGGAAAGAAAGCAAGAGAGGAAATATGGCTAAGAGCAGTGTGTATAAGCGGGGTTGCCACTAACCACTGACTCTTCTTGGGAAAGCAAGCAAAGCCCCTCAGCTGAATGCATTTTGGAACAATTCTCTGCATGAGCTTTCAAGCACTGGGCGGCACGCGCTGCCCAGCAGCAGGACCACATGGTCCCAGCAGGACCAGCTGGTCCCAGCATAGACACATTGTGTCCAGCAGCCGGGCCAATTGGCCCCAGCATACAGCAGGACCGTCCGGTCCCAGCAGTCATTTGACTACCTGCGCACAGCCGTGCCCCACATGGGCAGAGCAGCATTAGTTAGGACCACATGGTCCCAGCAGGACCAGCTGGTCCCAGCATAGACACATTGTGTCCAGCAGCCGGGCCAATTGGCCCCAGCATACAGCAGGACCGTCCGGTCCCAGCAGTCATTTGACCAGCAGTCATTTGACTACCTACGCACAGCCATGCCCCACAAGGGAACAGCAGCATTAGTTAGGATCATTGGCCTTAATCTCTTGCACTGCCTGCCATCTACCAGCATTGTAACAGAATTTTCTACAATCCCGCTTTGCGGGGCCGCCTGGTATATTGTTGCAAACAATTCGCAGATTACAAATTCTGTTACAAAACATTTGATATAATCCAGCCGCAGCAGCTCGGCAACCCCAACTTCCACTTGCTTGATGTGTGTGTGGGTGATAATTGACGTTGTGGGCACGGCAGTGGCTTCTTTAATCCAGCAGCGTTTTCAGATTCTTGCCGAGTCTATACTACCAGACAGCCAGTGTGGTTTACGTAGTGGATGATCGTGTACAGACATGGTTTTCACAGTACAGTCAACTTCGCTTATAACGACACTCGGCGGGGCATCAGGAAAGTGTCCTTATTCGCGGCGTGTCGGTATACCCGAAGTCTCATTATATGTGTCACAGTTGGATGGGACTTTGCTCTGGGAATGAAAATTATGTCGTTATTCGCGAATTGTCGTTATATCCGCAGTTGTTATTAGCGAAGTTGACTGTACGTCAATCTGTATGAACATTGATGCAAGGGGTTCCTGGTATTTGTAGCGTACCATTCTGTCAATTGTGAAAGTTTGTGGTTCGTTTTGGGAAGAGCTGGTGTCCCCGATAGACTCGTCGGTACTATTCAAGCTTTTCACGACAACAGGAAGGCATCATTGGTACTGGCAGGAGTCTACATGTGGACTCTGTTCCAGCAATGGTACAAGATGATTGTAAACATTCCGGATATTGGGCCTCCTTTGGCGACGAATGCTGGTGGTCGGCTACTATTCCGCAGCTCACGTACGGACGTTGCGAAACGGCACAACGACTGCCAGTTTGCTGACGACTCTGCACTGGATGCCACCTCCCACGAGGGTGCACAGCAGACTCTGGCTGCGTTTGTGCGGGTTGCTGGCGAATTTGGCCTGAAGGCGAATCTCGCGAAGACCAAGGTCATGCCGGTCATCTATGGACTCACAGCACATGACCAATTGCCTTTGATGGTAGTGGATGACATTGTTGAGAGCGTGGCTGACTTCAAGCGTCTCTGCTCCAGCGTACATACGGATGGTCGATCGACTCATGATATCAAGTCACGCATTGCTGGAGCATCGAGGACCTTCAGTGCGATGCGTCGTACGGTTTTCATGGATCGCAACCCATCAGTTGCCACTAAGCGCCAGGTGTATGAGGTGTGTGTTGTGTCCCTGTTGCTCTACTGCTGTGAGTGCTGGGTGCCGCTGAGCCGGGATGTAGTCGCCCTCTCGACATTCCATAATGAGATGTATCCGATTGATCCCGGGTATCACTCAACTTGACATACCGTACTGGCAATATATGTTGCCGCGTAACGCGTAACGCAGGGGGGTGCGGCGTAACGCGCGACCAGGCTAGTGCAACAAATTTTCGTTGCGTTCGTAACGCGCGTCCGGCGGGGTGCGGCGATATTTTCATTGCAAAAAAGGCTGAAAACTGTGAAAGCACGTGTACTGCGTGGTGAAAAGTTCAAAACTGGACGCAGCAGGAAGTCCTGCAATAGCAAAAAAAGGACTGCGGCAATATAGAAACCTGTGTAACGGCTCCTGTGCGACTTTGCATGTAACGCCCTGCGTGCGGTAAACATGTGCCAATGTAACGCTTCATGGCCTCACTGCGACCATATATATGTAGGACTCAGTATAGAGTCCATGCACTATATGATGTCCAGCACCCTATATAGAGTCCATTGGTCCAAAATCCACTATACAGAGTCCAGGAGTCCACTCAGTTTTGATCAGCTTCAACCTGCCGCGCAATCCCCTATAAGGAGTACACTTTTTCTACCAGTCCCCTATTCACAGTCCAGGTGTCCAGTTTATCCAGTCACGCCGTCCTGTGTGTTGTGCCCGAAAAAGAACAAACACCTTTTCAGTTTTGCTTGCCTCGTGGCAGCGCATTCCTTTCTTCGCTTCAGCCATGGCTGCCGGTTCTGCTGTGAAGTTGCTGACAGTAATCTGTCACGGGGTAACCAAGGAGGATAAGGAGACGTTCAAAATCAAATCTGGAAAGCGTCTTGTGGTTCTCTCAGACGTCTCATCAGTGTGCGGGGTGAAAGCAGAAATTGCAGAACGAGAAAAGTTCAGCACAGTTCAAATCTGACGAGTCAGGTACACTGACACTCTCTTTCGTTCGACGCCACAAGGATCCCCTGTTTGGCTGGCCATTGCTGCCAGTAAGACGTTTGAACGGTTTCATCAGAGTGAGGGATGAAAGCAGAAACCGGAGAAAGAGAAAAGTTCAGCACAGTTCCAATCTGACGAGTCAGATAGTACACTGACACTCTCTTTCGTTCGACGCCACAAGGATACCCCTGTTTGACTGGACAAGAGCTGCCTGTCCCACCGTGTCAAAAGGCTGTCCAACTACATGGCAGGACGATGACTGAGGTAAGGATGCTTTTACTTGTTTCGATTGGTCTGCTGTTCTGTCGTTATGCTTGAATTTGTTTCCATTTTCAAGGAGCGTATCGCGTTTGTTTGATGTTGCTTGAATGAATGCCCTAAAAGTAATCAACCTCTTCGTAATAGTCCTCAAGGACTGCAAGGACTTTGCATCAATCGTATACGATCGTCTAGCTATCATCAATTATTATAATTATTTCATGAGAAATGTATTTTTATCCCTGTGATAATTATGTGAAACTCCACGACACTCTTCCTCTAGTATGATGTCAAAATACAATGGGATCCACAAACGCAGTGCCAGTGTACTAGTAGTAGTAGGAGGATTGCTTGTATGCCAATGACAAGAAAAAGCTTCTCAAGCTAATACTCGTATTCCCTGAAGTAACCGTTTTGATGTCACGAACATGACATTGTGTCAGTGAAACTGCCTCGTGACAACAAATCATTGTATTTCCATCTTGGGGAAGACTGACTGACGGCAACGCTGTACAGATTGTTCAAATCATTTCATTTCAATTTAGTTGCAGTGAAGTGAAACACTGTGTACACTACATGTATGGTGATGTGTCTGTGCGTCTTGAGTGTGCACAAACCATCTTATTCCTCGTATTACTAATAGATTATTGTCCCCACCGTCACCTGTTCACAGGTCTTTGAGTGGATCGATTTTCATTGAGCATCACATTTGTTGAGAACTTGGTAGTTGTGTGCTCCCATGCATCATTACGGTAATAAGCGTATCCTTGTGCTATCTATTTGTTGCAGGTGTGCTGATCTTCAGAAGCTTGCGGAACTGAGTGCTGCTGAACATTTGCATGGCCATGAGCAATGGTGAAGCTTGCTATTGCACTCTCAGCATGTGCTAGTATTATGCTGACTACTGCACTATGTTACTCTCTTACACTACTACATGTATGTAAACGTGCGTGTACCCGTCCCTGTATGCATTAGTTTCGTATAATTATTTGTTATCCCTCTTGACTTTACTTGTAAATGGGTGGACGTTTGCATGGCTGTTGGAGTTGCGTGTGCATTGTGTCTCTACTCTTTTCTTAGTGTTTTCTTGGCGTTGTATAAGTTTGTGTGTGTGTGTGTGTGTGCGCGCGCGTGCGCGCGCAATAATTTGAAAACAAATAATTAATCCTGGGCTCTCCATTATTCTCTTTCGATTCTTGTTTTTTTTCTAGGTATTTTCTTGGCGTTGTGTGGGTGTGTGCATGTGTGTGTGTGCGTGCACAATTATTTGGCAACACTACATGATTGAGATATTGTAATTTGCAGCGTCTGCGAAGAGACCACTTGATTTGAGGCTGGTGTTTGTAGGCTTTTCCATGTAATGAAGTGGCTGCAGTGGCGCCTCAATACATATTTTTTACCTTGAGAAGTGAATGATGTAAATGATTAAAGGGAGAGGCCGTTTTCTGGTTAATATTCACTGCTTACAGCAGATCCTATGTCTAATTTCGAACTCGATAGGGGATGCCTAATTGGCTGGACTTTATACAGGGAGTGTTGTCCACATAAGACTCTTTAATCTTTATAGTTGATTTCAAAGTTTGGACTCCGTACAGTTGATTTTGGACCAATGGACTCTATATAGGGGTGAAGCCAATTGGCTGGACTCTATACAGGGAGTGATGTCCATCTAAACTTTGAGCTCACAGTTGATTCCAAGTTTGGACTCAGTACAGTGGATTTTGGACCAATGGACTCTATATAGGGGTTGGACATCATATAGGGGCTGGACGCTCTACTGAGTCCAACATATATATTGCCAGTACGGTAATCATGAACATCTCGCTTGATTAATTAACCTTTCACTGCTAAGGACGTTTATTTACGTCCTTGAGAGTGACGCCCGTCCACTAAGGACGTATATTTACGTCCTGAGTGCGCATCGCGTACTGACGAAAATTTTCAGGAGGCGCGTATGTTCAAATGATCGTAACTCAGTCAATCCTTACTCGATGCTAGAATCGAAGTATGTAGATCGAAGAGAAAACTCTCAGCTTTTGATTGCAACAATTGCCGAAGCGATAGAATAAAGTACTGCTGAGTTATGGCGCTCGACGGCTACACAGCTTCACACAGCCAGAGCAACAATTTTTTTGCCGTGCGTGGGCGCTCGGTTTTCATTTTTCTGCATTTTTGACATTTGGTGCCATGGCAACTGAAGTTCAAATCACCAGGGGACTCGCGGGAGCGTTCACAAGAAATGTCAGCTCGATACGAGCAAGGAGAGTAGAATGGCGGGTGAAAGCTCAGTTTCTTTCAGTTGCGAAACTGCGCCATGACTTTGGGACAGATTTGCTTAGCTCTATAGCTGGTCTAAGACCTTGTGGAGACTTGTGCCTTAGTTCAGCGTTTTGCTCGTTGCAGCAGCTTTCCAGGAAGCTCTAGATACAGTAAATTGGAGCATGGATGCTAGAGTTACGAACTGTTTAGGTGTGGTGTGTTTCAGTAAAAATGACCCATTTTCGCTGGTCATTAGTGGACAGGTGGCAGTAGCCGGCAGTGGTAAAAGGAGATGTTCATGATTATGTCGAGTTGAGTGATAACCTGTGACCCATCTTTTTTCCATTTTCCAAAATCACCTTGCCATGCAAAAGGCAACGTGCGGGAGAGGATCGCCGGCTTCACCCCACACAAGTGTGCCATTAAAACCCTCTGTTACCAACATTTGACTGCTTTTTCATTGAATAGCATGAATAACACATAATTGACACTTGTAAGGGTGGGTTGGGGGGGGGGGCATTTTCCACAGGAGGGCGTTCAATCAGAGTAGGAAGGCGCTGCCCCCCCCCCCCCCCCCCTCACACACTCCTTTGGCTAGGACCATGATACCTATCTGTAAGTTGCACAATTGAGGCAGGAGTCTGGAAATGGGAGGTCCGGAGTCTTTGTGGTCCACTTTCACGACAATAACACACACAGAAGTCTCTGCTATGAGCACGGTGGCTCGGCAATGGCTTTATTTATTGATATTATATCCTCTTCCTGATTTAACCCTTTAAGAGCCGCCCCATACTTGAATGCGTCGTAAACGACGCATTCAAATGCAAAACCTCAAAAGATCGTCAGTCCAATCTCGCTCAAATCCCGTGATCGAAATATCCAGGGCGAAGAGAAAACTCTCACCTGTCGGGAGAAACAATCCACGAAGCGCTGCAAGCAACGGTTCCGGAGATAAATCACTCGTAAGTTGAGCCGCGATCGCGGCAATTTCAAAAGCGCGCAGTGCGACTTTAGTATTGAGAATTTTGAGACTTTTCGTCACGCTGGTTACTCAAATTTGCACGGGTTTCACTGTTGATATTGTCAAGAGTACACAGCGAAAAAATTTGAACTCCACGATCGAGTAAAATGAAATATCTGGAGCGGGACGCAATTGGACGCATTTGGGGCATTTTTCGTACTGTCGCTGCGATCTAGCGCTGGATAGACGGTGTGCTGGCTATCATGATTGACCTTATTCTCTTCCTCTTGCGGAGACCGTCCAGGAAGCCCTAGATTGCGAGGATTGAGTGAGTAGAACTGAAGCTATGATCCAAGGAACACGAAAAATGCAGAATTTTGAAATTTTCCTGTGGCTCTTAAAGGGTTATAAAATAATAATTGTATGCATAGAGGTAAGAAAAAATATGTTCAAGATACTGCTGCTAATCGTACAGCAAAGCACACAGAAAAGGACGGGTGATGTTACAATGAATGTAACAACAGCCGTCCAAGCTAACTGACCTACATGTACACCCCTGCCCCAGGACGGTATCTTGAAAAAACCCACAGGTGAGGTAGGGGTCAAACGGGTGTACTGTTTTAACGGCTACAAATCATACACCTCGGCGAGGATCGACACTCCTGAATTGCTGTGGTGTTGGCTCGAAGAGCACTGGATCATTCCAACAAACTACAATACATGCAAAGAAAAAACTCTCTGGAAACGAAAAGGCAGCGCAGCCAAACAAAGGTACAGCTAAAACCTCATGCCGCACGCACAAGAACACAACCAAAAAAGGCTACACGGTGCCAAGGCTGGCTCAGCGAAACCGACCGCAGCGGAACCTAAAAGGTAGCCCGCTGTACAACTTCGATATTACATCAGGCATCAAGGTGCCCCCAAGGGGAGCACATGAAGACAGTAAGATGCCAGGAGATAAAGGTCAAATCACAGAGAACCGACAGCATGCCCGCAATGGCAATCAGGAAGAGAAAGCAGATCGCAACTGAACATGACATGAACGTGTAGACTGAACTCCGTGGCATTCTCGCCACGCCATGTACCTTTAACTAACGAACGGGTAATTTTCTTAACGGGCGGGTTAACGGGTACCCTTTAGCAGCCATGTTTATTTTTTTGCGCAATTTTCACAGGAATCAAGATTTCAATTCATCTGTTCTCGGGTTGCATTTTGATATCACATTGTGATTCGTAAATCGATTGGTGTCTGACAGTCGCAGGAGTAGATGTAGTAGGTGCGAAAATGCAACAACAATGCCGACTTTCAGCGTGGTGTTGTAAATAACTGACAATATACGATCCCAGCAGTGTTGCTCCGTACTGACTACTTCATCAAAATCCAAACGGGTACCCTTTTACTAACGGTACCTGAGATTAACGGTCGGGTACCCGGGTACCCGGTACACCCCTTTGACCCCTACACTCACCACACGGTCATCATCCAGCTTCAGTTCAATAACAATACAGTGGTATTCTTCCCATGCAGATTCAACTCCCCTGGCACTAGCCATACAATCTGAAGCTGCACGTAACCATACAAAGGCCCGCGACGCACACACCACCCCTACGTTTTTAACTAAAGAAGAAAAGCAGTCGTAACTGCCACAGCCACATAGCCAATAAGAAAGCCAATAAGATTAACCCTTTAAGAGCCACAGGAAAATTTCAAAATTCTGCATTTTTTCGTGTTCCTTGGATCATAGCTTCAGTTCTACTCACTCAATCCTCACAATCTAGGGCTTCCTGGAAAGGTCTCCGCGAGAGGAAGAGAATGAGGTCGATCATGATAGCCAGCACACCGTCTATCCAGCGCTAGATCGCAGCGACAGTACGAAAAATGCCCCAAATGCGTCCAATTGCGTCCCGCTCCAGATATTTCATTTTATTCGGTCGTGGAGTTCCAATTTTTTCGCTGTGTACTCTTGACAATATCAACAGTGAAACCCGTGCAAATTCGAGTAAACCAGCGTCACGAAAAGTCTCAAAATTCTCAATACTAAAGTCGCACTGCGCGCTTTTGAAATTGCCGCGATCGCGGCTCAACTTACGAGTGATTTATCTCAGGAACCGTTGCTCGCAGCGCTTCGTGGATTGTTTCTACCGACAGGTGAGAGTTTTCTCTTTGCCCTGGATATTTCGATCACTGGATTTCAGCGAGATTGGACTGAGTTACGATCTTTTGAAGTTTTGCATTTGAATGCGTCGTTTACGACGCATTCAAGTATGGGGCGGCTCTTAAAGGGTTAAATCGATAAACACCCACCCAGAAGTCAGGGGTGGGATACAAACTGCACCAACGTAAAGCCACTGCGAAATGACAGGAATGTGGTCAAGCACAACATTTTTGCTGAAGCAAAAAGTTGCAGGGAAATCCCAAAATCAGTGCGATTTTACATGAGCCTAAATGTTCAAGTTACCCACAAAGACACAAGCTTTCCAACTCTCTTTGGCCATTGCAAGGCGTACCATGTTTTACACACAGAATAAACAAATTCTTTCACTCACCATTGCACTTCAGTAGATTCTCCCATTTGCCGTGCGTAGCATTGTGCGAACTGCATGTCATTGGCGACTCATTCTGTGGAAGGTAACCGTAGTCACATTCAACGTATGCAAAGTGGTCAAGGGGATTATCAATATGACTCCCTAACACACTCCTGAACACATGTAACTTTCCATTGCTTATTGTGGTATTACTTGAGCAATAACCAGAGATAGCTGTCAGGCATCAGTAAAGGATTGACAACCGTCAACACACCGGAAAAGAAGCATGAAATCAAGAAAACGAAACACAGAGTCGTAAACACCCCAATCAGACTACTCAATCATGTGTTTGCAGATTGTGAGCTATATTTCGTTTTTAGATTACTGTTTAAGGGGAAACAAAGAAAACAGCGGGGCACAAGTTATGTATTATAATTCAACAACTAACCGGGTTTTGAACAGTCAGACGTGCACAGGGTAGTAGCGCCAGACTGACAAGGAGTACTGAGACATTCCACGGCAAGAAAGTCCTTGTCAGTCTGGTGCTCATTTCCATACACATGACATCCAAGAAGTCAGCAAAATACGCACAGACGCATGGTTTCACTCGTACACGCGCCAGTTGTGAACACAGCTTAAGGCACTACATCTGTCGCTGGATTACCTGATGTTAGCGGCCGTCATGACTTCCCATGAGGACAAAAACGAAAATACACTTCATATTTTACACAGTAAGCAACTTTCACTGCTCAAAAAATGCTCTATACCTAGAGAGGGATGTTGTAACAGTTTACAACACAACATAGATGTCAACCTCTTATTGTTTTCATCTTTGGCTTTGTCACACAGGTACACTTTGTTCACAGCTTGCCACTGTCGGTTCGTTTCCTGTTGCACCTATTCTTTCGTTGTGGTTAACATTCTATTAGCGGATACATGGTATGTTTGGGTTGTCTTTTACTTGGAACTAACTTGAAGCTAACTTGGAACTGTTTCAGATGGTGCTGTGTGCAGCCAACCTTGCATGCTGTCCAATGATTGGGATTTGTTCACGGGTAAGCATCGCAGTGCATCACTTTGCAAATGGTCAATACTTGCCTGGTTGAGGGAGGGAACTGGTCACAGGAAGTTCGGCTAAAACATGAAAATACCCCAAACACTCCAACACAGATTAAACAAATTCGGTTACTCACGCTTGCAGTCCCCTTAGTCCAAATGCCATCAAAATAATTAAAAGACTTGCATACTATTGGGTTCAGTAGACGATAGCCACGGGTACAGTTAACATTTGCCACATTGCCAACATGTCCACTCGATATGGTTACATTTCCATTTTTTACTGTCGGCGTACTCGAGCAGTAATTAGGTTTAGCTACTTCCTCCGTTAACAAAAACTTCGTGATGGATTTTGACTGATGTGAAAACGCTTAGAACAGGTCAAGAACAGTTTGTATCGACTTCAAATCACTGGACGAAGGTGATTCAGCCTATGTACAGCGTCTTCACAAGAGAAACTGTTGGCGGAATGAGCAGAGAGTTCAGTTTGCGTCGCTTTCGCTCGATTCATTTTTGACCTGCGTCGCTGTCGTCATCTGCTGCACGCGAGTCGTCATCTGCTGTACGCGAGTCGTCATCTCTCTCGAGTCGTTGTTCAGGTCGTTTCAGCCTCGCCTCGACTTCTTTGATCACACTCCCCTGACCTTGATGTCGCCGTCGTTCAAGTAAGTTGGCTTTCAAGGTGCGTGATCCACCGCGATGGCGATTACTCGTTTCCACCAGGGAGTCGTGAAAAATATTTTACGACTCCCTGGTTTCATCTTCGCTCTCCAGAACTCCGCGAAACGAGGAGTAAAGGCACAGCCAAACTGATTCCATTTTCTCTAATGGATAACAGCACTGAACGGCAGCGGCTAGCAAGTCCAATCGAGTTTCTTTAGCCACGAGACTCGTATCGGACTGCAGACTTCTGAAGGAATGCATGGTCATCAGCATTCGAATCTGGGCTTTGCGCAGGTTGAACAAGAACTTGAGTTCAGAATTATTTTCATTGAGCCGTGCGATCGGAGCAGCTCCTTGTTCACTCGCTCAACGTGTGGGCTCGCTGCTCCGTTTTATCGCTCTCTATCACTCTCCAACTTACTCAGTGCTAAAGTGGTAGAGAGGCCAAGCAGCGCAATATACCCTCGGAGAAGTGGTATTTCAGTTTCGCTCGCCATGATTGTCATCACCTATGTTTCCACTGCGCAACCATCGACTCGGCTCGGCTTGTTGTGAAAGGTCGCTTTCCTTTCATCGTATCTCTGTCATGGCATGCCAGGGAAGGCCAAGAAAGTGATTGCGACTCATTTCACGGCAGTTTGTGCCCAAATCAGCCCCTCAAAATTCCATCACGAAGTTTTTGTTAACGGAGGAAGTACCAAGTATTTGTAAATGATTGACATCCATTAAGACACCGAAAAAGGCGCATGAAAGAAAAACAAGACATCGAGACACAAGCATTTTAGCACCCAGATTGGAGTACTTCTGAAAAATCATGTCTTTTTGTATTTTGCGCTATAATGTATGTGGGGTTAATGCAACTAGTTAACCCTTGTTAGAGCTCATCACTGACTCTCACTGGACAGGAGACTGCGCTCTTGAACATTATCCTTTCGAATTGTCACATGTTGTCACATGTTGCACGTTGATACTATTAGTGTATTGTAGTTACGAATTGTGTACAGAACTGTCACATGCTGCAAGGGCAGTATTGTCAAGACATGCTAGGTCGCTTGCAATATTGGTGCGGCGCGTATCACTGCTATGTATTTCGCGAGTGTACTTGGTCCGCCAAGTTAAAATTGGCGCTTATCTTCTCACTTGGGTTTTCGGTGTTCTGCCTGTGTCACACGGCATGGAACCACCGATTCACCATCCGAACATAACCATTGACCATTGCATCCGACGACATGGCAGCACAAACCATCACAGAAGTTACGATCGGTTCGTTTGAGTCTTTTTGACGGAGCTGCCGCCGACGAACACTTCCGTCAGCGCAAGAAAACACTGCAACCTTCACTCGAGTCCGTAAAATAGGTCAGGATGTTCGCATTTCAGAGCGATGGAGAACACAATTTCTGTCTACTTCCAGCTGTCTGATGGCAAGGATTGTTTACCCCGGGGAGGTAAAGAAAAGCTGGAAAAGTGCTTCGCGAGCTTGAATTTCAGGGCTTGCACAGTACAGCGCCTAGTGAAGGGCTATCACCAGCAAATCGCTGACGAAGAAACTGCAGCTCATGTCGACATCTCCAGAAAGTGAGACCAATCCGGCGGACACACTTCGAAGCTCACAGAGGACAGGGCAAAGGAGCTAATCAAAATAAGCACCAAGTCCTGAGGGAAACACTCGTGCAAAGGACTTTCAGGAAACTAGCCGAAAAGCCTGGTGCACGGCGTTAGGACATACATGTAGGTGCAGCGTAGAGTCTATGCACAGGTACTACATCAAGCGGAAGCTATCACTGCGCTGCATGTAGATCTACACGCACCAGCGGCTCGCGTGGGTGCTGATCAGCAAGTACGACAAGCGCAAGATGCGATTTGAAAAAAGGTCACTGATATGGCGTTGCCTTTTTGTCTCAAACAAAGTCGCATTATTGCGACGAACGGGGATAACACTACCAGCCAACATGCGGGTAGTCTCACTCAGCTTCTGATCGGCGAGGTGACAGGCATGCACTGCCTTTGAGCGTGATTCGAGACGAGGAGAAGTGGAAAAAGCTATGAAACGTGCAGCAGCTGTCCGGATCGAACGTTCTGAGCTCTTCCTCCAGCGACGATAGTGGCGAGGAGGATGTGTAACTTGCTTGAATTTTCGACTGAGTTGCTTACTGACATGTAAATAATCATGTACATAGTGCTTTGTGATCGTGGCTTGCTTCAAATATTCGTATTTCCTTCCTGAGACAAGTGTGAAGATAAGTGCCAATTGTAACTGGGCGGACCAAGTAATATCTATTTGTTAGTCTGTTAGAATTACATCACGAGTGCATATGTGTTACGTCTACGTCGAGACACATTTTATGATACAGTAATTGCTATGCGTGTTCGTACCACGACATGTTCACGAGCGGAATATCTTGTGAATTGTGCTATTTTCTGTAGACATCCGAAGAAGTTGGTATTCCATGTCCTCTCCATCACACTTCACTTGTACTTTCAGATATACACTGCTGCACACAGTCTTCCTCAACATACTCTACATCTCACTCTTTTTTCCCCACACAAAAGCCCATTTGCACACGGTTTTCTCCGCTCCCCACAGAGTACTGCTATCGCTGCCCACTGCTCATGCCAGCGATGTTCCACATAAAGGCACTCAAATTATCGACTTAAGAGAGCAGCAGAGTCCATTGATTGTTTTTGCACTTGCAACCAATACTGGCATTGCCTGGACATGTGCACTCTGGCCAAATCATCGTCCAACTCAACTCCCAAGTCAGTGTCGATGCCAATCGCTTGCCAGGTTATCATCATCGTAGAACTCCTCATCACTGCAGATCGTGGGATTGCCAGCCTCAATAATTTTATGCTCGATGAAAGTGTCGCCCTTAAATGACTCGTCGCTCTCCTTACTTTTGTTTCCGACGCAAATCCACAAACTATTTCATCCTGAAACGAGAGATCTTGGAAGCTCAGGGCCCTACGCTATGCATTCGAGGGTAATACGACACCGTCTACCACCTTGATGACCTAGGCAAAAAAGCATTGAAGTGCATGCAGCCTGCAGCGCGCTGTAGATCTACATGTGCATGTACTACGGTACCAACCTTAACGGGTGTGTGCCTGGTCACCATGCTGCACAAACTGCCATGACGCCTGAGCCACCTTTTTGCCAATTTTGGTGTGACTTGTCACTTTTCAGAGCTTGTAATTGTATAGCACAAGAGCTCGCAGTTCGTCGTTTTAGATCGACCATTTTGCTTCGTGTTCAGTGTCAGTCTTGGTCAGATCAACGAAGTGGACAAGCTGGGTGGACAGGACATGGTAGGGATTTCAGTTATGACAGTATCACAGTGTGTAGTCGTAAGTATGGATTCTGACGAGGAACCTCGGGAAGAAGCTGGTCCTCCTGGATTGAAGAAAAAGCTGGAAAAAGCTGCGGCTTGGCTTCAAAGAGTCGTAGTCGCTACCGCCAGGAATAACGAAGAGCAAGAAGGGAATTCACTTCGCTTTCTGCAAGCACTGCAACAGTAGTTTCAGCGTTGGACACGGAGGTTTCAATGATATCACGTGGCAAATTACACTAATGATCAGTCAGAATGTTGACCTGAAAACGAGTATGCAAAACTGAAAAAATCTGCAAACTGGCACCGGGCAGTACGCATGGGGGTAGAGGTTTTTGGTGTCTGGAAACCACCTTTTTTCGGGCAATCTTGCCAAAGGAAAAATGTGCCTACTGGATTGGTTATTGTGCATACGCGTTGATCGATGGGCAGTTTACAGTACAGTGACTATGTTCTTGTTTCGAAGTGAAAGAGAGTTGCTTTGCATGCAGTTCAACTTCAAAATACATTATTCTCTCTTTCTTCAGTGGAGTTACCACAGAGAGATCGATCCGTCTAGCTCTGGTCCCAGTGTTACCAAGTGCCCTCTACCCCCATGCGTATTGCCCAGTGCCATTTTGCATAATTTTTCCGAGTTTTCCGTACTCGTTTTTTAAAGTCAACATTTTGACTGATCTAGTTCACTTTTGAAGCCTACGCACGAATTCAGTACAATTTTCAACTTCACCAGGTCATAACTTTGGTCTACTTCGCTTGATTTTCATAATCTAGGGCTCGTTGGAAAGCTCTAGGCAGGAGCAATGCCAGGATGCCAAGCTCCATTATGAAGCAGCCACAAATCAGGCGCGGTAACACAGCAAAGTCGTCTCCAAGCCTAGTCATGATGCAAGCACATCGTCCCATCAACACAATTCTACACTCCTGCATGCATCGCAGAACGCTCAAATTTTTTCCAGGCGATTCAAACTTCCGCCGGCCACATCATTATAAAGTGCTCAGTCGCTCAAAGAGCGCACAAAAAAGGGCCCGATTTCCCCCAAAATGGCGAAGAGTTCGATCGAAAAATTTGATTTTAATAAGAATACCTGAATACGGCGCGCGATATCTCTGGAGTCCGACATCGTAACACTACAGCGATTGTTACATTGGACAGCTTGGTGTTTCTGCTACCACGTAGACTCTTGGATTGTTGAATTTGCACAAGAAACGATGGAGTTACGATGGTTTTAGTAATCGATCATACACATGATCGTTTGCGGGATATTTGATTGAAATCCGTACTGCGGACAAAACTTCGTTTTTCCGTAAAATACGGACAAATACGGGCGGTTGGCAACACTGTGGTCCGCTCCTGGATTGGCGATGACGTTCAAGAAATCCGTTTTGTCTCGATATTTGAGTCAACGGCACGCGCGATGCAAGTCAGGCCAAGGATTCGATTGACGATGTCTCCTTCCAAACTGGTGACTCAAATCAAGATCTCCAAATAGATCCACAGACTGCCACGCCTTTCGTTCTCGCTCATGTGCGCAGCAGAGATGTTTGTCACAAACGTTGTCGACTGGAAGACGTAAAAGTGTGCGTCTATGATCCCCTTCTGCTGCTTCAGAACGGCCGCGACTCAAGGGCACATGGATTCGCTTTTCTTCCGCGAGTTTCCATCGAAGCTAGGTCAATAACTCTTTATTGAAATCATGTGGAACGTTGCCAATACATGCTGAAAACTTCGTCATAAGAACAGAGAGAAAGATACATGATTGTACACGTACGTGGAATGTAAGCAGTGTTTTGATGAAACGAACATGCCTGGAGCTGGAGTGGACTAGTGAAGTACCATAGACATCATTTTACGGACTGTAGTGTAGCCTGGGCGCCGTGGGCGGCTAGGCCTATCAAAAAATAAACTATAAGACGCGTTTGTGCCCGCATGATAGCGCATGCAGTCGGAGGAGCCCACATCTCACCAGCACCAGCGTTCATTGGTGACCTGCACCCCTGATCTTGAGCCCCCCCCCCCCCATCCTCCCTAGCCCTCACCGTTATCTCTGACGGGATGTTCGGGGGATGCGCATGTGAACAAATACATAATTATACAGTGGGTCCCCAGAAAAAATACCAACTGTAGAAACACCCCTTTCAAGACCCGGTGCACGCCACTGGGCCACTAGGTAACACTGGCACTAGGTAACACTGACCATGCTACCTGTCTGCAAGTCGCACGGTTGAGGCAGGCGTCTGGACAAGGGAGATCCGGATGAGAATACCCCTAAACGCTTTAAACAGAGAGTAAACAAGTTCTTTCACTCACCATGGCACTGAATTAGATTTTCCCACTTGCCGTGCGTAGCATTGTGCACACCGCAAGTCATTTCGGCGTTCACATTTTTCTTTGTCTCATAACCCCAGTGACAGACAATGTATGCCGTACGGTTAAGGCCAAGAGACGAGTACTTGTCCACATATCCATTGCTTATTTTGATATCACTTTTGCAATAATCAGAGATAGCTTTGAAGTATTGGTAAAGGATTGACATCCGTCAAGACACCGGAAAAGATGCATGAAAGCAAGAAAAACAAACACAGAGTCGTAAACACCCCCAATCAGGCTACAATTTTTTAAAACTTGGATATTGGATATATGAGACATCATGGGCAGCAAAAACCAGGGTTAGGTGATATTAGTTTTTGATGGCTTTGAACTGTCCACTAAATGAGTGATCTATGGGCCAAAACTTGGAGCTCTGGGCACCTTTCAAGATGGTAAAAAGAATGCCTGAAATGATGAGTGAAGGTCTACAAAAATAGTCAGCAAAAAGGCAAAATGGAACACAGTTACAGTTGGCTCTGATGGAGTGGTTGAGAATAATTTAAAGCACAGAGTCTCTAGTTGATAATTATAGATAACTTGTTGCCTGCACTTGCTACTATGAACTTGAAAACTCAATCCCTGTCATATGTGCAGGTTTGGTGGTGTACGCAGACTTGTCTGACAGAAAGAAGCCAAGCAACTGACGTTTTACATGGCTGGGAACAACCTACAAGACTAGGTATGCATGCTGGGCCAAACCAGATACATCCACCAAGCATGTCTTGCTCTCCTACGTACAGCAGCTCGTAGATCCACGTCCATCTCAAAAAGACATTAATCCACGTTTGGACTTTATCCTGACAACGTCTATACGCCACTACACGTATACCAGTACTCTTGCTCCTTTCTCTGACCACTGTCCGGTCATAGCAATGATGGGTTTCGACGCGTTATCTCCTATGTCACCCCTAAGTATAAAAGTCATGTTGACCTCAATCTGCTTCGAGACCGGCTTATAGCTCAACCGTTACTTGAACATGTTATGGGTGATGGTGATGTAAATTTTTCCTGGAGAGCATGGTCATCGCACTTCTTTTCCATACTTGATGCGTGGACCATACGGAAACAGCAACGGTGTCCAGGCAAGCACATATGGTTCAATGATCATCGGCGAAGAGCACGACAGCTTCAGCAGAAGCTCTATAAGTTGCATTTTCAGAAACCTGAGGAACGGCGCGTCGCATGTGTGTGTGTGTGTGTGTGTGTGTGTGTGTGTGTGTGTGTGTGTGTGTGTGTGTGTGTGTGTGTGTGTGTGTGTGTGCCTGTGCCTGTGCAACTGTGCATGAATGTTTTTCTTTGTGTGGATGTGTATGTGTGTGTGTGTGTGTGTGTGTGTGTGTGTGTGTGTGTGTGTGTGTGTGTGTGTGTGTGTGTGTGTGTGTGTGTGTGTGTGTGTGTGTGGTGCGTGTGTGGTGCGTGTGTGTGCGTGTGTGCATTCATGTGTGAGTATGAGTGTATGTGCGCATGTACAAGTGTGTGTACAAGTGTGTGTGTGTGTATGTGTATGTGTATGTGTGTGTGTGCATGCGTGATGTGCGTGTGTGTGTGTGTGTGTGTGTGTGTGTGTGTGTGTGTGTGTGTGTGTGTGTGTGTGTGTGTGTGTGTGTGTGTAGCTGTGTGACGTGATGTGCGCATACGTTTGGGTGCGTATGTGTTGGCATAATTATCAGTGGTCTTCACACATACATATACTACAGTACTGTAGGATATCTGGTAGTCCTATTCCCACTATCACTTACGTGTGTATGTCGGCAATGCCGTCGGTGTAGTTCCCAAGAACACCATCACACCACTAAGACCGTAAACGGATGTTGGGTAAGACACCGTGTACGAGACTCGGTCCGACGCTTTGAAAGTTGTTACCCTATCGTTGCCCATTTGATAAATAGCACGGGTTCCACATTCTCTTCTGAGATTAGAGTTGCAAGACATAACTGCAATACAAGTGACAGACATCAACTCAGCATACCGTATGCAGGGCCATTCTAAGCGGTATCTGCTATTGCTTTTAGAATGACATGTAATGAATATCTACTTGGTAGCCACTGCATGCTTAGCTCTGGGTCTGTGTCTGTGGTCCATTTGAAGTTACATACAGTCGACCTACCCTTATAACAATATTTGCGTCAGACTAAGACATATTGTTATAAGGATAATAATGTTATGGGTGTCACTAATTCATGTCATATACATACGTCATACTATGTGGGCTTTGCGCAGCAAAGCCTAGTTAGCCCATGCACACGCATGCTGGTGGTGGAGTGCTGCGAGTGCGTGTCATGTGACCACCTCGTGACTAAGCCGCGTGCGCCACGTGTGGCCTCGCAAAATTTTACGGACAATCGTAGATATGGCGTCTAATTTCGAGACGTGTTTTGCTGAGCTGTCTTTGTGCGAAGGAGCATTCTTTGCAGTTTCTGTTCAAGTTGCAGTTTTTTTTACATCAGCACAACGGCTTCCTCCATATCCGCCCGGATCCCGACCAATGAGGAAGCGTGCCTCGACATCGTCTGGTGGCATCGCTTTGCGGCCGACTGGAATGGGAAGTCCTTCTTCCACGACCAGGCCTGGTCCTGTTCTCCCGACCTCCAGTTGTTCACAGACGCCCCCTGCGAGGGCTACGGGGCTACTTCCAGGGCAACTGTTTTTTTGGGAAGTGACCGGAGGAGTTTGAATCTCCTCAGCTAGGCATTCTTCTGGTTAAGGAAATGGTTCCCATTGCTCTAGCTTGCTGCATTTGGCGTCCGTGCTGGGCAGGAAAGAAGCTGTTGTTTCATTGCGATAATGAGGCGGTAGTTAGAGCTTGGAAGACTGGTTCATGTAGGAACAAGCATGCCATGGCGTTGATTCGCTTTGTGTTAGCTGTGGCTGCCAGGTATAATTTTGTTGTGGGTTGTGGGGAACGGGGTGCCATGGTTTCTAGGACTACTACCTTTGTGGGGCAAATGGGCCTCCTATTATGTCTGTATGTTGTGACACCTGATGCCAGCCGGTCGTGTGAGCCCTCGGTGGGCGATTGGCTGGCCTCGGTGGCCGTTTGTGTGCCCTCGGCGGGCAAGATCATATCGCCCACGGTGGGCAGTTTGCTGGCCTCGGTGGCAATTTACGCAACCTCGTTGGGCTGTCTTCTGGTTTAGCCCTCGACGGGTGGTTTGCTGGCCTCGGCCACCAGTTGTGTGCCCTCGGTGGGCAGTATGCTAGTTTAGCCCTCAGGGGCCATTTTGCTGGCCTCAGCGGCCATTTGCGCGCCCATAGTGGGCCGTAGGCTAGCTTAGCCATTTGTGCGCCCTCGGTGGGCAGTATGGTAGTTCAGCCCCCCGGAGGTCAGTTGCGGGCCGCGGTGGCCATTTATGCGCCCTTGGAAATGCTAGTTTGGCCCACTGCGAGCGAGTTGGCTGGCCGAGGTGGCAATTCGGGCACCCCCTTGTGGGCTGTACATGTATGTGGTTGGCCCACGGCGGGCGGAATGATAGAGCCCTTGGCGGGCCAGTCCTTACGCGAGTCTATTCTTTCATCACAGGCATGCATCTTTACTCAAACAATTATTATCAAAGAGCATATTTAAAGAGTCGGCGTGGAGTTGTTGTCTGGCCATGTCTGCATCTATTATGCTCTTTATTGCACTAATAAAGAGCATATTCTTGAATATTTGAATTGTCCAAAAGAAATCATGGCAACCCCCGACCCAATGTGTCTTTGTATGTTTGTGCACGCCGTAGTGAGTGGTGCGTTGTGCGGGTGTCTGCGTGTCAGAGCATGGGTACGCCGGTGGCGTGTGTGTGTGTGTGTGTGTGTGTGTGTGTGTGTGTGTGTGTGTGTGTGTGTGCCCATTTTATATTGTTATAGGGGTAATACCGTTATACCAATATTGCTATAGAGGTAAGGCATTGACTACACAAGTCAATGGAGTAATTTGGCTTGGCAGAAAAATATCGTTAAATGGGTAATATCGTTATAGAGGTTATCGTTATAAGGGTAGGTCGACTGTATTTACACTGACCCTTGCCTCAAGTCATGCTTTCCAGTGCATGTGGGGGAGTGCAGCATGACATGGCTTGTACATTTCAGCTCAGTGTGTTCTGGCTTCCAATGGACGTGATTTTAGAGTCACAGCGTGAACGTTGGTGGGGTACTCACTAAACCCCAAATTTCAATTGCAGGCTTGTAAAATAAACTTTAATTTCACACTTTTGGTGACTTTACCACCGTGGTGGGGGCTAGTTGGTGAGGAGCAGGTAGCTTTTGCTTGTGGAATCAAAGACATGAAGCTACAATGTGGCTGATTCCACAAGAGCCAGGTGCATACGAAAAAAGTACCTTAGCATCAAAGTAAGTCACTTTCCTTGTTTTCAGGATTTTTTTATCCTTCAAAAATTTCTGAGATTTTTGAGTTGGTACCTTTTCATTCAGGCCATCATTTATTTCGGGTTACATGCCCAGAAAAATACCGGTCGCGTCGGTCGGTTTTCTTCTTTTTTTTGCTGATATTTTAATTGCAATTGCGAATTTGGACTTCACGGAGAATTTTAGGGCTCACAGTACGTATGCTGATTGCCAGTGGACATCAGCGCCATTTTGATTGGGGCACTCAAGTTCACGTGATCCTTTCGCGTGCAGGGCTGCACTAGTTCTGTGCATGCCGTGTAGATCTACGTGCAGGCTGCAGATGGAGCTGCTGTTTTCTTGCTCTGTCGGCAAACACAATTTCCCACAAGTAGCTAGAAGATGGAGAAGCTTGGGAGGCCTTGATCTTTTCTGTAGTTCGGGAGATGGACATCGAACATTACAATGGTAGTTCTCCGTGACTTACCCTTGGTACTGAGCTGTGGCTAAGGTGAAGTGAGGGACGAACTACTCAAAAATATCGCAAGCCTACAAGCGCTTCGGGTCACTAATGCCCGGGAAGAAATAGATGAACACTAGTCTGCCACGACGATACTCCACAATAACCAGCTCACACTCGGCTCTACCCACACCTGACAATGGATTTGGAAGGAATGAGTTCGTTCCACTGCGCAGTGAACGAAACGGCAGGTGAGCGAAGAGTTGTGCACGCCGTCGCGTAATCTTTGTAGTTTGAGCTAAGATCTGCGGCGCTTCTCACGATCCTAGGTAAACAGGCCACGAACAAGCCGTCCATCCATGGTCAGAAAGTAGTTGCAAGGTCGTTACCAGGAACGTTTGCAGAGCTGATTCCATGAAGAACAACATGAGCGCACAAAACAAATCACTCGAACACGGCGCTGATCGCCTTGGAAGGTGATCAACACGTATTTTGAGTAAGTGTCCTTTTCTGGAATGCAAAGCTATGTTTTCCGCACGCAAGGTACATGAAATCTGTGGTGGTATGCGTGACAAGGTTGCGCATCATCATTATTTTTTTCTTGAGTTGCCGTTTTCTGTCATGTCAGCTTGTGCACGGTCTTCTTCTCGACCTTGCGCGCTTCAAAATGTAAGAACTGCACAATGGTTGCTCCGATTTTGACGATCTATGGCTTAAAATTTTCTTGTGGGACCTGGCCAGAGGATTACTGAGCCATATTTTTGGTTTTCACCGAGCTTGTGTCATCGATTCCCACAGATGTTTGTCCCATCGAGGGACGAAAATCCACAAAATCCCGTTCGTGGGTCTCAGAGCACGGATTTGAAAAAATCGTTCGGTAATCCTGTAGTCCTTCAGCCAAGGAATCCTCCCTGAAAATTTCATGGGTCTCCGGTAAGTCGATCTTTAGAACGAATCGATAGAAGATTCAAAAAAATATTCAAAATTCCAAAGCCCGGTGATTGGCTGAAACACGGTTTTCACTGATCACGCCAGCACCTCGTGGAACAAACTGGCGCTGGTGTTGAATGTACGCAACTGTGAGCCCTAAATTTCAAAGTATTAGGAAATTAGAGGCCACATGCCACGTACTGCTCTTTTCTCTCCGAAACTCAACACTTGCAAGCCAGATATGAAAGAAATAATCATCAGTCACACCACCGGGACTCGAACCAGGGACCTTGCTATTCGCGAGCAATACTCTAACCAACTGAGCTACAGTATGACTCTTATCCACAGTGATGGTAAATCTATCCTTTTTCGTTCAATCCATATCTGGCTTGCATCATACTGGCAACTCACACCAATCAAGAGGGCCCTCGGCCATTCGCTTGATATCATGGGGAGCGCGGCAAACAATGTCCACTGCGAGCAAATACAAATTCCAATTTCAAATTTGGACTTCACGGATAATTTCAAAGTACAGTGCGTATCGGTCATAGCGTGGTCGTGTAAAAGAATATACTGCCTACAAGAATGAACTCTCATGTTTTCATAATCATAGCATGGATTTCAAGTGCACATTTATTCTTACAAGCAATTTTATCGTACAATAGAATATATCGGTCCTAAGAATGGACTTTGTGTAGCAAAACATACCAGATTAGTACAAACAAGAGTAGATAAACAAGAGTGTGCAACTCCGGATCTCACCTGCACAATCTGCCCACGGCGGAATTTTTTGTTTACGTCACCTTTTTTCAGAGAAACGCGGATTTTGCCGCAGAGCAGTGTGAGAGCACGTGCTGGGCACCGACCTTGTAGTGTAAAGCCCAGCCAAGTGCATGAGGGAAAACTCTCCAAAAGGCTCGCAGCGCGTGCGTCGTCGAAAAGATTACGTCAACAAAAATTTCCGCCGTGGGCCAACCCATCCGCGAGTTGCACACTCTTGTTTATCTACTCTTGGTACAAAGTATATCGCCTATAGTAATACTATCCGTCCAATGCTGGTCCGATCTGACTCGCGTTGGGTCGTATTGCTGCGGGTTCAACTGTTGTGGTCATGTAAATCATGTTGCATAGCCACATGGTAAGCCTATGTGACTATGACCAGCCGCATGTACCGTAACACTATATTGCAAGTACGATGATCTTCCTGCTTCTGGGCACATG